ACCTGATGTAAATGTTCACCTTATATGTCTGTCTGTAGTTTGGCTGGAAACCCTGGGAATGAGTTCAATTCCAGACCTGAAGGGTAACTAGGGGCCATAGTCTTGGGGGTCTCACCAGGCTCTATCAGACCAGTAAACCTGGTTGGTTCGTTGGTTTGTTATGATTCCGAGTTTGGTTCCACCTTGTTCTCCCACTGTCTAGGAGCTCCTGCACTGACCCTTTTCTAAGCAATCCTTTTCTGAGCAATAGCCAGTTCCATAGGGTTTTTAACGACAGCTTCTTTTGGAAGTAGATTGCCAGGCATTTTTTCTGAGGCACCTCTGAGTGGACTCAAACCTCCAACCTTTCAGTTAGCAGCCCAGAGCTTTAAGGACCAAAACGCCAAGGATTAAGAGAAAGCACTTCAGGAATATATTCTAATTTTATAGTTCTTAAGCACCATCTTGCCTAATTAAGGAGCTCTGGTGGCATAGTGCCTAAGGCATTTGACTGCTAACCAGAAGGTGGGCAGTTCAAACCCAACAGACACTCCACAGAAGGAAGACTGGGCAATCTACTTCCATCTCCTCAGAAACCCAAAGGCAGTTGCTCTGAGTCAGAATCAACTCGATGGCAATGAGTCTGGTTTTTTGGGGGGCTTGGCTAGTTAAAAAACTGACTCTTCAGCTTTACATGCCTGAGATGTCTGAGTCTTATTTTTCAGAGCAAAGTCTAGGGCAAAAATAGATCCATTAGAGAGCTAATCAAACAAAGAAAGAGAATCTAGTGTGACTCCTTAGTAATAATACCACATTAACATGTATTGAGTATACCAGGGGTAGGGAAGAGGAAGTATCAACTCATCTTCACAGTGGGTGTGGACATTTGTAAGAATTCACTGCAGATTTGTTATTCACTACAGATTTTCCTTCCAGACCTTCTGGCAATCATAACAGGGCCCGAAGCCAGGGAGTCGTCTGGGTCACTGTATTTGGAGTATGTATGTGTTAGAAAGGAGTTCTGGTGGTGCAGTAGTTAAAGCAATGGGCTACTAACCAAAAGGTTAGCATTTTGAATCCACTAGCTGCTCTGTGGGAGAAAGACCAGGCAGTCTGCTTCTGTAAATATTTACAGCGTTAGAAACCCTATGGGGCAATTAGAAACCCTATGGGGCAATTCGACACCATCCTATAGGGTTGCTTTGAGGAGGAATTGAGTCAATGGTGTTGGGTATGTGTGTTAGAAGGGACACTTCTTCACTTTAGCCCCACTTCTCAAAGCATTTAGTAGAGAGTTCACACAAGGAAAATAAAAATGGTACTTCTGGTTTGAAATCCTGCATGTCTTTCCTTGCCAATGAAAACACAACAGATCTTACAATCTGACCTGCAGAAACAGCCGCCCAGGCTTCAGGGACTGCAGCCTAATGGCTCCCAGAGGGCAAAGCTGCGACCATGCCAGCAGCCATCAGGAGGAACCATCTGGAAAATTCCACTGATTCTGCCGCATGGCTGAGTTGTAAAGGCAGACCCCGCCCCTCTCCACACCCAGTTAGTTATGAAGGAAAAATGGATAGCAGTGTACATTTTGAAACCTGCTGCAGGGCTGACCCTGAAAAACATCTCATTTTCCCTCTCATGTCCACTCCTTTGTCCAAGTCCCCTGAACATCAGTCAACTACCTACCTATAATTCTTTCCTACCCACTCTATCTCCCTGGGAAACCAAGGGTAAGTCCATAAACACTTCAACACTAGAGGAATAGTTGTGAATAGAAATTCATTCATTTGGCAAATTTAAGTGAAGGCTACTATTGGAATGGGACCAAGCAAAATTCTATGGCAAGTATAAATAAGTAGATGTCCACAATGCCTGCTCAAGGAGATTGCAATCCAGGTTGAATGATAAAAGCCAACAAAATGTTAAGTAACAACAACAGAGCATTGGCCAGGGAGGGATATTATGGGCGCACTTGGTCACTGCTGATAGCAATGTAACTTACATACCCTTTTGGGGAAGCACAAGTTGGCAATAATGTACCAAGATCCTTTAATAAATCTTTGACCCAGCTTCCTATTCCTAGGAATCTTTAAAAAGCAATCAAAGATACAAGCATAGCTATGGGCTGAAGCATTATTTAGAATAGCTAAAACCTGGGAAGGAGAGTGTGGTAGTTCAGTTTGTGTGTCAACTTGGCTGGACCTGGTTGAGTGGCTGGGCAGCTGGTGGTAGTTATGAGACTGGCAATCAACTCCATGGAAGGATCTACCACAAGCATCTGAGTAGCTGCCTTTGAGATGTGGTCTGCTTCCTGTATCTAAGGAGAAGCCTTGGGGATAGTCTCTAGCTTATGGCACACTTGGACCCTGCATGTAACCATGCTCTGCCAACCTTAGGACTTACAATGGACTTGAATTAATGGCCTGCCATGTGGTTTGGTAACATCAGGACTGTGCCTTTCTACTTGTCAACCTTGGGCTTGTCAGCCTCAGCAGCCAGCAGCTGTCTGAGTGAAGAGATGCCTCTAACTCCAGTGGGCCAGGAGCAGGAGGCAGAGCTGAAGCCCGAGGCTGAGGGGCTTTCACCCAGTACCTAGAGCCTGGCACTGTGAACTTGGACTTAAAGCCTCCAAACTGTAAGAGAATAAACTCCTTAAGACCATCCCATTTGTGGTGTATTCTTGTCAGAGAAGCATTAGGGAACCAGAACAGGGAGGAACCCTCATTGTCCAACAATACGGTATATGATTAAATACACTATATACAAATATACATGGGATACTTTGTGGCTCATAGAAACCATGACATTGAACAATATTAAATGAAATGGAGAAATGTAACAATGGCATGGGAGTGGCATCATCTGACCTCCTCTAACTTCACATGAAGGGAGGCGGATCAAGATCAAAATCAACACTGTCATCTACTTGGAAGGGGATCAATGTAGGAGATCCTTGATAGAGAGGGAGAACAATGTGGAACAAAACTCAAAATCATTTGGAGTAAAAAAAAAAAAAAAAGAGGGGGACCAGGTTTGCTGGTCCAATACAGCCTGGTGGAACTGCTGAGACTATGGCCCCTAGCTGCCCTTCAGGTCTGGAATTGAACCCACACCTGTGGTTTCCAGCCAAACAAAATACAGGCATATGAGTTGAACATTTACCTCAAGTAGATACAGGCCTTGGAAAGAACAATCATGGGAGAAAGAAGGGCTGCTTATGCACAGGGAGACAGCTCAGGGGGCAGGAGTGCATGGAGGATGGATACAGGGAAGAGGTAACTATGGGGAGGAAGTAGGAGGGAGCTGTTGCATTGTGGTAAACTGTGGTCAATGACATGAGACAAAGTATATGTGAACTGCTGTATGGAAAGTGAATTTGCTCTGTAAATCTTCACCCAAATCACAATAATAAAAAAAAAAAAAAAATCAAAATCAAAAGCCCAAAGCTGATACCTATGAGACAAGCTC